GAGACAAATGCAGCTACGCTGGAGCGGCAACCTGGTGCGCATGGACGACGAGCGACTACCCAAACGACTCTTCTACGGAGACGTCGCGACGGGCTCTCGTCGTCAAGGAGGCCAGATTCGCCGTTACAAGGATACCCTGAAGCGCCTGCAAATCAACCCCACCAACTGGGAGGAGCTCGCACTCGATCGACCGACCTGGAGGAGGACAGTGAAGACAGGCGCTGCGATCTACGAAGCCAACCGCATCGCTGCCGCCAAAGCGAAACGCGAAGCCCGCAAAGCACAACTTCGTCCAGTACGCAACGCCGCCGCACAACCGCTTCCAACGTGTCCATGACTTCACATATTGAGCAAGACTTCCCCTCGCCCCACTAGCGATCCACGCCGCAGCAACGCGGTCGCCTGGTTAACGCGGCCCCACGACCTGACTAGTGGACAAGCACTTGGTGAGAGGGCCGCGGTTCGCGCATGTGTACTCCCAGTGCCCGACACCGCGCCAGACGGACCTGCACTCAGGCCGAAATTCTGCACACGTGCGATGATGGCGGACCGGCTAGAGCCTACGGGAGGACTTGATTGTGATTGAACCTTTCCCGAGGTCACACGAGAGTTCGTTTCCGGTCATTTGGGCAGGAGGTCTGTCATTGGTAATTGAGTTCGAAGCGCGACTGTCATTACTTTGAAAACAGGCGCCGTCCTCAATATACCGGGAGACCAGTTGATTGTCAACTGTTGCAGTAGCAAGTGTTTCGTACGCGTGACGGTTTTGGGGTGCGTGATAGTCTGTAGTTTCGGCAGTACAGTACCATTCCGCAATTTATCCACGTCAGAATTACATTACCGAAAAAAGCAAGAAAGACTGAAGTGGACGCTTCTGGCTTATTAGCCACCATTCTTGTCCTTTTATGTAATGATATTCTGACTATCTTACACATCGCTGAGCGGCTGCTGGCGGGGCTCGATAGAGCGAGTTCCGTAACACGATCTGTGGGCGCCCCGCTATCAATGCTCATGTCCTTCGTAGTTGCTTCAAGAAGGTCTTGGAAGGCCACCTTGGTCCCGTTATCCTCAAACACGTTATTTATTCCCTTGGGGTTAGCCAAAACCATGGCCATCTTCCGAGAATACACTCTGATTGCTGCATGCCGATGACAACGTGTACTTAACTTGTCGCTTTTTAAATTCCTCAGAAATTATCTACGAACTTTGAGTGGATCAGTTTATTCAAGGGCTACAAGTTCAGACCGATAATTTTCTGCATGAATATTTGGGCCGAAACCCATCAGTCACAGCGGATAACCGCGTAATATTAATTAACTGCCGACAGGCAGCTAGTAGTATACATTAGGGCAAGGTGATACCATATTAAAAGCACAGGTACTAGCCAAAAACCCACTGACACACTGACGAGCCGAACCTCT